ATTAATAGCACAGTGCTGTATAACAAAGTCGTCATCTTTCCATCTGCGTTGACTGTCATTGATTTTCTTCTCTCAAGAGAACCCAAGTACCACTCTTCAGAGAGGGGACGATGYCATCGGTCAAAGACAAATCAGCTGAAAATAACAATGATCGGCTAGAATCACCCGAGRACACAAATGCTATGCGGGAAGGACATAGCTCTTTCAGTAAGGGTTTCGACCACCGAGATTCCACCAACTTGAACAACTCTMATGGGAATACAAGTATGATCAGCAGCCATGTTCAAGAAGATCGCACCGAAGGAATAGAGGGAGAGACGAGTATCGAGCTTCAATTTTTGCCTCCAGACCAGAGATCTGGGCAAACGGGAGACTTCCTTCTAGCCGCAGTAGTAGAGCCGGAAATAGAGGATGATACGGAAGCTGCCGAAGCACTGAGAGCMAATTCGAAAGTCAAAGTGGGAATGTTCAGCAAAGCAGCCCGAGGAATCAACGCACAAACAGTTAGAAAGTTTGTTAAGATTGCTTCATTACGAGGGAGTGGGATGAGGCGTGGAAAACCACCAAGAGTTCCACCAGGCCTTGGTGCTGGTCCACAGCACAAACTACATAATTCTGACTATACTATACGCGAAGAGGATGAAAAACAGATTTATTGTGTTGAAGAGGAAGGCGGTGATTCTGATCACCAAGAGGTCAGTGAAATATCGAAACGAAACGATGATGGCATTCCCACTGTAGTTTCAACATCAAATGAATCGATCAAAAACTCRGCATCCAAAAGTCATGAAGGCTTAGTGAATGCCGGAGTTGAGCAGACTTCTACAAATGTGAAATCACATCCCAGACAGTCTGTYCAAAAAGTGCACTTCGACGAAGGAGACCAATCTTCGAAACAAAGAAAGCTAGATCCGTACTCGACAATTGGTCTCGAAGAAAACCAAAGGGATATTCCTACCGAAGTTGTTGCTGAGACCATGGATGTTGGTCGGAAAGTAATGGGAGCAATGGATCCACACAATATGCTTCAGGTACAGAGGTGGAGACGAAAGAAAAAGGACGGAAAGAAGGAACGAAAGTCTTATGTGAAAGGAAAGGTCATTGATGGGAGACATGAGTTATATACACTTTCGATCGCTGTGATGCTTGGAGTCCGCACTTCGATTGCACGAACCAATACTATTATTTCTTCGGATGGAAAGAAAATTCTTTCTCCTCAAGATTTCATGGCTGAAGAAAAATATGAGTTTGCACCAAAGGTAAGATTTGATTCCTGAAGCACSATCTTTTTTGGCCTTCTTTGTGTCAAGAAAAAAGTCGACTCACAACCGAGTTTTGGATACCATTTTGCATTTGTTCTGTCTGTTGTCTTTCACCACCCAGGGATCGGCAACAACACCTCCTCACAAGTTATCACATACATTCAAATTTAAGGATTATGCTCCTGTAGCTTTTGCATACATTAGAAGAATGTTCGGCGTGAATGAATTCGACTTCCTACTTTCAGTTTGTGGAAACGCCAATTTTATTGAGTTTATTTCGAATGCTAAAAGTGGTCAATTTTTTTTCTATTCCAGTGATGGGAAGTACATGATCAAAACTATGACAAATAGCGAGAGCAAATTCTTGAGACGAAGTGAGTGTAAAATAGTAACTTTTSTTCGATTTCAAATGCAACTCAGCTTTTTTGCTTGGTGGTTGTCTCTTGTTTTCTTACAACGTCCTCTTTCTTGTGAACTACAGTATTGCCGCACTACTTTCGTCACTGCACAGAAAATCCTAACACTCTGTTGGCGAAATTCTATGGAATGTATCGCGTCAAATTATACCACCTTCGACGGAATGTGAAGTTCATCATAATGAACTCTGTGTATTACACAGATAAAAGTATCCAGTCGTTTTACGATTTGAAAGGCTCGGAAATTGGTCGTTCTGCGAAAGCTGGCCAGGATGTTTTGAAAGATAACGATCTAAGGAAGAATCTACGAGAAAATGCGTTCTCCTTTAATCCTGAACAGAGAATACGCTTTCGAGATCAAATAGAATCTGATTGTAATTTTCTTCGCAAGATGCAAATTATGGACTACTCAATGTTGATCGGAATTCACCACATTCCTCCTAAAATGGCGAGTCAACGCAGTAATATCGCTGATACTGGATTCAAGATTCAGGAACATCGCGCTCCGAGGAAAAGTAATATGCTGGGAGTTGTTGCCGACACAGATAATGGATGTGACAGCACCAGCAAATCAAACCGATCACTAGGTAGTGATACAGCAAATTCCCGTAATCAAGATGTTGTTCTCGATGGAAATGATTCTACGAAACACCTAATTAGAGATATCCGAGAAAATGCGTATTCCAATTCTAATTTTGARTTTGCTGGGCTACTCGAAGATGAAGACGACTGCAGCTACTTGGAAGGATCCGAGAATTATAATAAACAATTTGCACGGAAAATACGGGCGTATCAACAGCATCCGAAATACAACGATATCGAAAAGAAGAAGGAACACACAATTGAGCAGATATACTGGCCGTTCCATAGATTCTTTGATATCAATGGGCACCGACGAATGAAACCCAAAACCGATTCTTGTATTTCCGATGGAGTCTYAGATCTTATAAAAGCATGGAAGATTCCGGAATTTGTTCCGCCCCTTTCAGATCGCAAGGACGGTGGTGTTATGATGGACACGTCTCATTTGAAAATGCCTATGGTATTTGACGGGAAACAAGGAAAAATGACTTATGAAGGAAAAATTTATTACATGGGAATCATTGATATCCTTCAGCAATACAATGCGAGAAAGCGTGCCGAAACTAGATATAGAAAGATAGAAGTGCGGGGAAGGGCCGAACCGAGCTGTGTTTCACCCGATGATTACGCAGAACGCTTTCTTTCTTTCTTTGACGAGTATTCCCAAAAGGCTCACCCGAAGACGTTTGGAGAACAAGAATCCACTGAAATTGAAGTCTCTAGAAACGAATCTTCGCTTATTCGTGTGACGAGTAACAACAAATTAGTTCCTCTTCTGACAAAAGATAACACAACGATTTCAAATGGTTCCATAGGCCCTGCGAAAGTTACTCCTGAAGATTCCAAGACTGGGTCGTCGGTGCGAAAATCTGGAAAGCATGTCGCTACTTGACAGCATTGGGTAATTACAAATGGGATGAAAGGAAGTATTCGAACTGTTCTTATTCAATTAAGAAATCATCTCTAAATATTGATAGCGGCTTWCTGATTCTTTATARAGTCTCGTGTCCAATTCAGACATATCCATGATTTTTTGAATGGC